TCAGGAGGCTGAGTCAGGAAGATCACAAATTTGAGGCCAGTCTTGGCAATTACTTAGTGCCTCAGTAATTTAGTGAAATCTTGTCTCTGGAGGTTCCAAAAAAAGGCCTGGGGATTCAGTGGTAAAGTACTATGGGGGATGGTGCAAAAACAGAGAGAGAGAGAGAGAGAGAGAGAGAGAGAGAGAGAGAGAGAGAGAGAGAGAACACAAACATGAGAGTACTAAATCTACAAGAAATAAAGGAGTCCTTGGTGTTGAAGTTCAGTGTAATTTTTAAAAAGTGGGGGAGAATGACTACAGATGAGATTGAAGATATTGAGGTAAGTCACAAAAGCTTAAGAGTGAAATTAAGAAGCCTGGACAGTTTTCTCGGTGAAATGAGAAGGCTGAATCTTTTTAAATACAGCAGGGATATGATCCAATTGGCATGTTATGGAGGATACTCTGGTATCCAGGTAGAGATTGGGTTGGAGGAAGTCAAGAGTGAAAGCATGAGGACCAATGAAGAGATGATAAGGAGACTGCCACAATGATCCCGGTGTGAAGTCATGGCAGTGTGGTGTGCACTAGTGGCAGCAGTGTCGGAGAGAAATGGAAAGTCTTGTTAAATATATCACAGGTACTTGACAATGGATTGGAGGAAAGGATTGTGAATGAGAGGGAGGTGTGAGTAATTAGTCCTCAGACTCTGATTGGGTGGAGATTAAGGAGACTAGATAAGAAGAAACTTATTTGGGAAGGTAAAACCTAGAATTAAATTTTGAACAAATTAAGATGCCTATAAATCATCAAAATAGATATACTAGGAAAAGGGCTACATACATCCTCTAAGTCCAGGACTTAGAGGAGATTTGAGCTGGGAGATTAAAAATCTGAGAGTCACTGGAACAAAGATGGAAAGAAAGCAGGCCCTTTGTGATCTTCTGGGAAATGTTATACTAGAGGTGGGAGATAGGTAGGTTTGTTCCAAATTGCAGTAAATTGAGAGGAAGTTGAGGCAATAGACAACAGACATAAATCATTCTTCCAAGTGGTTTGGAAACAAAGAAAGGAGGGGCATTAAGGGAGGTTCAGGGATAGTGTTTTATGATGAGAAGTGTTTTCAGCTTGTTTATAGGCTATGAAAAAAGATAAATAGAAAGGGCAAGATTGGGAATCTGAGATAATTAGGGGTGAGATAATTGGGTTCAGATTATCCCTTTTCAGAGGAAGAAGAAAGAAATGATATCCTGATCACTGAGGGCAGGAACAGTCTATGAAAAGAATTGAAATGCAAGGGTTAGTTAAATCAGCTTGGTGAACAAGGAGGTTTAGAAGAAGATGAATGAGAACACAGATTTCAAACTTGAACTGGCTTCGACATTTTTTTGAGGGTAGTGAGAGGTCACACCCGCCTGCTGAAAATGAGCAGGTAAGATTAGGGTAAAGATTTTCCTCAATTTGTGCAGCAGAAAATGGAAAAAGACACCTTATTCCTCCAAGATTGTTGTCCTAGGCCTTGTCCACATCTCCACGAGGCCTGTGGTTATCCAACATTCCCATGATAGCTTTATTGATTTCAAATTCCAAATCTTCTTTATACAAAATTCTTTGATTGATTTTTCTATATGCCATTAACTCATTTTATAGCATCCCAGGGCTATGAAGCTATTAATCTGCTCCAAGTTCAAGTAAATTTTCAATTTAACAAGGGTTTATGGCCTTTCCAATTTTCCTTGATTAGATGACATTAAAGATAAGCAAAACATTTTAATTTGTCTCAAAGGACCCATTGAAGGAAAACATTTCCCCAGCCTTGGATGGGAAGAGCATATAAACCAGTATATTTTGTAATATAGGCAAAATTTCCACTCCACTGGTCACAAAAAAGTGTAATTGGTTCAATCTTGTATCAGTGGAATGTCTACTTTATCATTCTTATTTCTCAACCAGCACTAAAGCCTCTGATTTGTAATTGCTTTTAAGCTCAGTCGTAGTCTTGGTACATTGTCAACTCAGGGAAAGCTGTTCCAAATGACACCTTTCTTTGTGAAATGTTAAAATGGATGAACAAGCAATTCAGTATTTATTAATACTTAGCACTATGTTGTGTACTTAGGTACTTAGGGAAGAAACAAATAAAGCTCATGTGGACTCCATAACATTGACAATGTTGCTTAAAGCTGTTTCTTTATATTGGTTTACCTGTTGTTAAGAAGGCATATAAGGCTTTTTTTTTTTTTTTTTTTTTTTTAAGAGAAACGACAGTGGAGTCAATGCCTGCTTGCTTTCTGAGTCAATAGCTCCCTTCTTTCTGCAGCTATACTTATTTGACCCTTGACCTAAAATTTAAGATTCTGCTTCCTATTTTGGGGTCTATTTTGACTTTTGTCAGGAGTAATTTGGGGAAGTACAGACCAGTCCTTAGTGATTCAGTGTTACCAACTTAGCTGAGAGTGTTTCCAATTCCAGGTACTGAGGCTATAGTGTCCCTTGCTCATGTGTTGATTGCAGGATTCTGTGATGGAGAGTAGAGCACTTGGGTTTGAATTCCCAAGCTACCACTATCCTTGCCCTGTGGTGGCCTGGGTAAGTTATTTTATCTTTCAGAATTTCAGATCCATCCTTTCTCAAATGTTGTTAGAATACTTTTTTTTTTTTTAAACTGAGGTTTTATATGATGATTTGCTTCAGTTCGGCAAATTGAAGGCAGATCCATGTTTTCTTCTCCTTCTCCTGAAGTTTCTGCTTTCATAAAATCTTCATTACACAAATTCTTTCAGGCATGGGTTTCTGCTTTGCTTTATGTAAGCCTATCTAGGGACTGGTGTTCTATGACCTGCTGCAGGATTAACTCGATCTAGCATCTGTATGCACTCAGGCATCTTAGCTGACTTTAGAATCCCAGTGATTATGCTCCTTCCTCTGTCTATGTAACTGATTGCATGTTACCAAATGCCTTAATGATTGTCATATTCCTGGGTCTGACACCAAGTTTTATGATTATTTTGTACTATTTGACTGTCTAGCCTTCTTCAATTCTTGCTCCATGAAAATTTTGTTTAATTTTTATTTCATTTATAGATTTGGTTTTGGTCATATATGATAAGTGAACCTAAAAGTCATCTATTTTCTAATATGAATAAAAAATTTCTTCCATTAAATTTTGGTAAAAATCCACCAGTAAAATCATCAGGGCTTGGTGATTTTTTTTAATAAGGTGATTACTTATGGATTCAGTTTCTTTAGTAAATATGGGGTGTTTAGATTATCTTTGTGTATGTGTGACCTTTAGTAGTTTTTTTTCAAAGATATTTGCTCATTTCAAGCATTGTGTAGAGGGCAGGGGATGTGGCTCAGTAGCAGAGTGCTTGCTTAGCATGCACAAAGACTTGGATTCAATCTCCAGTATTGCAAAAACAGAAAAATAAGCTTTCTCCCTCTGGGAAAAAAAACAAAGAAATTTGCTAACTTGGAAAAAAATGTTAACCTATAACAGTAGGAAAACTCAATATTTGTTATAAATAAAATATGAAATTTGGGAGAAAATGCTGATAATTTCAATATTTGTAATTTAAAACATAGAATCAATTTAAGTACATATCAAAGTTCATTGTTTCTTGAAGTAAATGAAAGCCATAGATCTTAGAATTTTAAGTAGTTAGGTCCCAATTCTATATGGCAGAAGCCAAAGTAAAAAAAGAAAAAAATCACAAGTCAATGGAAGAGAAGAAGGACAGAAGAACCTACATGCCCAAGTAACCTGTGGTTTTTCTGTCTTTTGTATCACAGTTACAAAAGTAAAAGCTTAATTGCTGAACTACAGATCTGCTTTATTTATAAAATATCATTAGCCATCAGTTAATGAATGATTTTATGGTTTGAATTTGATCATCTTTGGCATTTAAACCCCAAATCACCATTGATACTCTCATTATTAACACCTTTCTGTATTCACGGCCTTCTTTATGTAGTGAGCTTTAAAGGTAGACTATTAATTAAATAATAGTTCGTGAATTTTCTTGTTTACTCTAGAGATAATAAAACAATCTCTATGTCTGAATTTAGAACTATTTCTATAGAAATATCTTCATTTCTATATTTTTTCTTTTATGAAACTGGAAAATTAAAGGTGTTGCTCAATATTTAGTCACATTCTAGGGAAACACATTTGTTTTCAATAAGACCGTAGGGTCAATTGGATTTTTTTTCTCGTTTTCCCTTGCCTTCTTGATGTTTAGATTTAGAAAGAATTTAATGGTCTAAATACGCCATCTGTTTCTCACATCACATTAAGTAATATAGTAATAGCCTGAATTTTCTATTGCAACTTTCTGCACCTCTCAGAACAAAGAAGTGGTCTATCTCTAGTATTCACAATTAGAGGGCTCAAATGCCTATAGGTTGATGGCTGAGAAAAATGCTAAGACTGTCAAACAGGATTAAATCTTGGCAATTAAAATATTCGTATTATTAGGAAATCGATCAATAAAAAACAGTCCTAGAAGACAATCCAAAATCTTGACCTCAAAAATAGTAAGTTTTTGACCCAAGTATAATCCTCATAAGGTATCATTTGTCATCTTATTTGTTTCATAAATAAAGAGATCTTTTGCATCAGACTCTATCACAAACTTTTTGGGAAAGACAATTTACAACCCTTTACAACTTAAAACATTTGCACAGAGTCTTCATTTGAAATGTCTTCCTCTATTATTAATTCAGCTTGGCTATTGGAAAGCTGTGGAAGAAATTCCACTCTTAAGAAGGAAAAAGCATGAGTTTATAAATTATTGAGCTAAAATAAGTGGACTTTCCCTAGGTGTCCAAAACATAATGTCATTGATACTACCATTGAACCACAAATATAAGGGAAAATATCCTAGACTCTAAATCCCTCAAAAAGTTTGCAGAAGTTTGCAGCTAAAAACATTCTAGCCCCAGTGAACTCAGTGAAAGATTGCATTAAATTGGGTCAAGCAAACATCTCTTTTTCTCATTCCCTTGTGCAAGTAACTCACAACTTTCAATCTCCAGGGTGCAATTTTGTTCATCCAGAGGGTATCTTCGAAGATCCATCATACATGCGGCAGTAGTTGTGATCCTGCCAGGGTAAGAGAGGAAAAAGACATTAGAAAAGTGCTAATATTTCCTCCACAGCCTTCCCAGTCCCCAATCATGTTTACCAAGTGGCAGAAACAAAGCGCAAAACGTTTGTGAGGTCATAAGAGACTACTGTGAACAATTATACATCAACAAATTGGGTAGCCTAGATGGATAAATAGCAATGAATAAATTCATAGAAATATATACACTGCCAAGGCTGTTTCAAGAAGAAATAAAGTTTGAACATTACAAGGAGATTAAATTAGTAATCAAAACCTTCAAGAAAGAAAAGCCCAGAACCAGATGGCCTCATGGGTGAGTGTTTTATCATACATTCAAATAAGAATTAATAGAAGAGGGAACTCTTCAACACTCATTTTTTAAACATATTTTAATTGGTGCTTTATAGTTCTACATAACGGTGGGATTTGTGGTTACTTATTGATACATGCACAATAACAATATATGTAACAATATAATTTGACCAATATCATTTCCCAGTATTTCCCTCTTTTCTTTCCTCCTCTCCCTGGTCCCTAAGTTTGATTTATTTCACTTAGTTCTATCCATTTTTCCTGCCTATGACATAATTCTGTTCATGTTCATGTGTATATATACCACATTTTATTCATTATATACCAATTATATACCAATATATACCACATTTTCTTATCCACTCAACCATTAATGAACACCTAGACTGGTTCCATAGTTTGGCTATTGTGAATTGTGCTGCTATAAACACAGGTATACATGTATCACTAAGTATGATTCCTTTAATTCTTTAGGATAAATCATGTGCTGGTTCCATTCCTAGTCTTTTGAGAAACCTCCACATTGATTTCCATAGTGGTTGTACTCATTTTTACACCTCAACAGTATAAAAGTGTTCCTTTTTCTCCTTATTCTCTCCAGAATTTATTATTATTTGTATTCTTGATAACTACCATTCTCACTAGATTGAAATAAAATCTCAGCATAGTTTTGATTTGCAGTTCCCTGATTAGTAATGATCTTGAAGATTTTTCCATATATTTGTTGGCTATTTGCATTTTTTCTTCCAAGAAGTGTCTGTTTAGTTCATTTGCCCCTTTATTAATTTTTTTTGGTATAAATCTTTTTTATATATTCTAGATATTAACTCTGTGTCAGAAAAGTAGCTAGCAAAGATTTCCCCCCCATTCTGTAGCTCCTCTCTTCATATACTTAATTATTTTATTTGCTATATTGAAGCTTTTTAATTTGATGTCATCCCATTTATTAACTCTTGGCATTACTTCCTGAGCTTTAGGGATACTACTGAGAAAGTCATTGCCCGTGACTGTATACTGGAGTGTTGACCCTATGTTTTCTTCTAGAAATTGTGTAGTTTCTGGTCTAATTCCTAAGTCTTTGTTCCATAACTTTTGTGCAGGGTGAGATAGGGTCTAGTTTCATTCTTTTATGTACAAATAACCAGTTTTCCTGGCACTATTGGTTTACAAGGATGTATGTTTTTAGCACCTTTGTTAAGGATCAGATGACTGTAGAAGTGTGGTTTGTACATTTGGTGCCATTGCTCTATGTGTGTGTTTTAATGCCTGTGCCATGCATCTGTAGAATAATTTGAAGTAATGTATTGTGATATCTCCAGCATTGTTTTTTGTTTGTTTGTTTGTTTGTTTTTTGGCTTAGAATTGCTTTTGCTATTCTGGATCTTTTATTCTTACAAATAAATTTTAGAAATGTTTCTTCTTGTTCTGTGAAGAATGTCATTGATATTCTGATAGGGATTACATTGAATCTGCAAATCACTTTTGGTATTTTGGTAGTATGGCCATTTTAACAATCTTAATTCTGCCTAACCAAGAACATGAGCAGTCTTTCCATCTTCTAAAAGTCTTCTTCAATTTCTTCCTTCAATGTTCTGTAGTTTTCATTGTAGAAGTCTTTCACCTCCTTGGCTAGATTTATTCCTAGGTATTTTATTTTATTTCTTTTTTGAGGTTATTGTGAATGGAATTGTTGTCCTAATTTCTTTCTCTGTAGATTCATTATTGGGAATAGCAAAACTATTGATTTTTGTATGCTAATATTTTTTGTATGTTGATTTTTTTAATGTGCTATTTTGCTGAATTTGTTTATTAGTGCTAGTAGTCTTTTGAATCTTCTAAGTATAGGATCATATCATCCATAAAGAGTAATAATTTGACTTCTTCCTTTTCTATTTTTCCTCTTTTATTTCCTTCTCTTACCTAATGACTCTTGGAAGAATTTCTAGTATTATATTGAGTAGGAGTGGTGAGAGTGTACATCCTTGTCTTGTTTCAGATTTTAAAGGAAATGCTTTCAGTTCTTCCCTATTCACTATGATGTTGGCTTCGGGTTTGTCATATATAGTCTTTACAATGTTGAGGTAAGTTTCTTCTATCCCCATTTCTTTAGTGCTTTTTTTTATCATGAGTGGGTGCTGGATTTTGTTGAAGATTTACTCTGCATCCATTGAGATGATTGTGTGATTTTATAATTAATTCTATTTATGTGATGGATTACATTTACTGATTTGTGTATGCTAAACTGTCTTTGCATCCCTGAGAAAAACCAATTGGTCACCATGTCCAATCTTCTTAAGATTTTCTGCATCTTATTTCTTCAGGGATATTTTCTATAGTTTTCTTTCCTTGATGTGTCTTTATCTGGTTTCTAAGGCTTATTTTATGAGGCCAGCATCACCCTGATTCCAAAGTTAGGCAAATAGAATACAAGGAAAAGCAACAATGACAACAACAGAAATCAAAACAAAACAACACCCCTACCCCGCCCAATAACCCACTAAAGGCCAATATCCTTGATGAATAGATACACAAGCCTTAATATATTACTGAAAAGCTGAACTCAAGAGCATATTAAAAGGATTGTACACTGAACAAGTGGAATTTATTCCTAGGATGCACATATGGATACAAAGCAATCAGCAGAAGCTGAGGTAAAAACAAAAAACAGAAGCCAACGAAAAAGAGGTTAAGGGAAAAATCAATTAACATGATACATCCTATTAACAAAATAAATGTTGGTTAACCATCTCAGTAGATGCAGAGAAATGGAAAGCTTTTCCTATAAGATCTGGAACAAGGCAAGGACACCCAACCTCACCACTGCTGTTCACTGGTAGTCACAGTCAGAGCAATCAGGCAAGAAAAGGAAATCAGACATCCAAATCAGAAGGAAATAAGTATAACTATCAGTTTGCAGATGGCATGATCATATCCATAGAAAACCCTGAAGACTCTACCAAAAAATTGTTGGAATTAGCAAGTGAATTCAGTAAATTTTCAGGATACAAAATCAATATGAAAAAATCAGTGGTGTTTCTACACATCAACAACTAAATCTCTGAAAGGGAAATTAAGAAAACTTGTACATTTACCTTAGCAATAACAAAGTGTTTAGGAATTGACTTAACCAAAGAGAAGGAAAACCTCTACATTGCAAATAATAAAATATTAATGAAGGAAATTTAAAAAGACAAGCAAATGGGAAGACATCCCATATCATAGACTCAGAAGAATTAATATTGTCAAAAATGTCTATCTCACCTAAAACAATTTCTAGGTTCAATGCAATTTCTATCAAAATCCAATTGCATTTTTGTACAAAAATAAATAGAAGAAAAAAAATCCTAAAATTATTATAGAATCAAAAAAGACCCCAAATGAGTGAAGGAATTTTGAACAAGATCAAAGTTGTTGTACTTTATATTCTTATCAACAGTGTACAAAGCTTTTCTTTTCACTATATCCTAAACAAAATTTAACTTTTTTTCTTTTTTGTAATAATCATCTTAACAAGAATGAGATAATATCTCATTATGGTTTTGATAAATTAGAAATGTTGAGGACCTTTTTCATATGCTTGTTGACCATCTTTATATTTTCTTTTAAGAAATGTCTATTTAAGCCCTTGGTCCAGTTTATTTGTATTTTGGCATTGAGTTATATGAGTTTTTAAAATATTTTGAGTATTAAACTCTTATAATATATAAAGTTTGCAGGTATTTTCTCCCATTCCATAGGTTGCCTTTACATTTTACTGATGTTTCCCTTTGCTATGCAGAGCTTTTTAATTGGATATTATCTCACCTGCCTATTTGTGCTTTTATTTTATTTTGGTATCAAACATCACTGCCAAGGCCAATGCCATAGTGTTTTCCACTGGAAATTGTAATGTTTCAATTTTTAAGTTAATTCTTTAATCCATTTTGAGATGAGTTGTGAATAGGAGCCAAATTTCAATTTTTTTTTCCTCATGGATATCCACTTCTTTAAACACCATTTGTTGAAGAGACTATCCTTTCCCTCTTTGTGTTCCTAGCTTCCTGTTCAAGATCAGTTGATGATAAATTATAAATATATGATTTTATTTCTGGGTTCTCCTACTCTGTTTCATTGGTTTATGTGTCTGTTTTCATGCCATAACTATAATATTTTGATTATTACAGGTTTGCATTATAATTTGAAGTCAAGAAGTAGGATCTCTTTAGCTTTCATCTCAAGACCCATTGATTGTGAAGATAGCTCTGAGTTTTTCATATATAATTTTAATTATATTGAGATAAGTTCCTTTTATTCATATTTTGTTGAGAGGCTTTATCATAAAGAGATATCAAATTTTGTCAAATGATTTTTTTTTCTGCATCTTTTGAGATCATCACATAGCTTCTGTCCTTCATTCCATTAATGTGGTATATCGCAATGCTTAATTTGTGTATGTTGAACCAACCTGGCATCCTAGGAATAAATTCATAGTGTAGAATTATTTTAATATGCAGTTGAATTTAGTTTGTTAGTACTTTATTGAGAATTATATCACATTCATAATTAATGTAATTAATTCACTATCCATTAATAACCATATGTCAAAGATACCAAGATAAAGCTGTGTAAAAAAATCTTGTGATTAAAGATTTTGAAGATAGCCAGATTGGGTTGAGGCTTAGCTTTTTTTTCTCACTTATGTTAT